TAGTGCCTCAACCGTGTCTGGAAGATCTACTTCGACCTCTCCTCTCGATGAGGCCTTTCAGAAAGTTAAGGCACAAATCTTCAAAATAGATTTAATGTTAACCTTGGAGGGGGAACCCACGACTCCCTCTTTTTTGAAGACTACTCTGAGGGTTGTCGATCTCCTCATTGCTTCTCCGGACGTGGCCAGCGTTATCTTGGATTTAATCTCCATTATTGACCAAGTATCAGCATATTATAACCGTCAAAGGAATCTTAATCGTGAGATTGAAGAAACCAATGGTCAAGTGGCTGTTGCCTGGCACGCTGCTACCGAATCAGCTTCTAAGGTAAAGGGTCTGTCGAAGGCCCAAGAGGCTAGACAAAAAAAGGTCGAAGAGATAGATCGAGACACTGCTCAAATGAGGGTGCAGATTACAGAGTTGGAAGCTAAAATTGCTGCCAACGATAAAAAGAAGGAAGAACTCCTCGCTGTTAACACTGAGTCAAAGAGCCAAGAGGAACTGGCTGAAGGGTTAAGACACACTGATCGGGCCAATCTTTTGATGCTATGCTCGAGACCCTTCATCAATCAAAGGCTTTATGTGATCGATGCCTAGAATTACAAATAATTAAGTATCTTCAGATCAAGGCTAATCTCCCTTTTTGAATCCTGTTTCTTTCATTTATGTAATCACTTGTTGTAATGATTTCAAAGCCATTTTGGCTACTTTAATGAAAATTTAAGTTTCCATTTTGGCATTCTCTATTCAACGGTGACTATATATTACTTATTTTTACCTCTTGAAGCGTAGGTCTATACGCTTTCAAGTATTTACCATTCACCTTCAAAAGTCTTTGATCTTCGCTTAACTCTTCAATCTCATAGGCTCCACCAGAGAAAGCCTGGATAATCCTGAAAGGTCCCTCCCATTTAGGAGACCATTTTCCCAAATTTCTATCTTTTCGATCCATCGGAAGAATTACTTTCCATACTAGATCCTCAGGCAGAAATGTCTTAGGTTTCACTCTGCGATTATAGGATTTCTCAACTCGTTTCTTCTGCAGTCTCAAAAGATCCAGAGCTTTCAACCTTTCTTCGTCTAAGTCAACTAGTTCGTCTAACATCATATTCCAATAGACCTCAGAAGGGATATCATGATGCATCTGAATCCTTGTCGCCTACAGGTGGATTTCCACTGGCAACACTGCATCATGATCATAGGTTAGGCAAAATGGTGTTGTTCCCGTGGCTTCTTTCAGACAAGTTCGACATGCCCATAGAACTTGATCTAGCGTCTTGTGCCAGTTTCTAGGTTTCTTTCCCACATGTTTCTTTATTAAGTTGATCACTACTTTATTCGCTGCTTCGACCTGGCCATTAGCTTGCGCATAATAAGGTGTAGATGTTAACAATTTAAACCCCATTTCCGCAGCAAAGTCTTGCATCTTTCGACCAGTAAAGACTGACCCTTGGTCTGTAGTTATTGTTTCGGGAATTCCAAATCTATATATGATGTACTTTTGAATGAATTCAATGACATTCTCTTGGTCTACATTGACTAAAGGGATTGCTTCAATCCACTTAGTAAAATAATCAATTCCCACCAATATATATTTCTGGCTTTTAGAAGATGCTGGTCGAATTTCTCCAATAAGATCTAAAGCCCATCCTCTAAAAGGCCAAGGTTTCACAATCGAGTGAAGTTCGCTTGCCGGCACATGCTGAATACCTGTATGTATTTGACATTCTTGGCATCCTTTTGCAAACTCAACACAATCTTTTAACATAGTGGGCCAATATAATCCTTGTCGAAACAATAACTATTTCATCTTTTGGCCTACTTGGTATGCTCCACACGCCCTGACGTGTGTGGTGGAAAGAGCTATGTATGCTTCTGTTTCACTTAGGCATTTCAGAACCACACCTTCAGGTGTTTTCTTGAATAATTCATTTCCCATCAACACATAACTCAGTGCTCTATATTTTATTTTTCGTTCTATCGAAGCCGTTGGATTTTGTAAATAATCCACTACAGGCTTTCTCCAATCTTGTTCTGTTAGATTGTCTATGAACGAAATTTCAAAATTTTCGTGATCAATGCATCCCAACGTTGTGGCCCTTAAATCCAATGGAGATAACTTAGTGGATGTTACTCTCCCTCTAACTTCTATTGCTTGTTGTAGCCTGTCTTTCGAAACTTTATACCCGGAAGCAATCTGCGCCAAGTCGTTAGCTACTTGATTTTCCAATCTGGGTATATGTCGAATGTTAACTACCTCGAAGTTCTTGAACAACCGTCTGGATATTACGAAATACATGATAAGATTTTCTTTTATGCATTTATATTCTTTCGTAATTTGTTTTAGGACTAACCCTGAGTCTCCCATTATTTCGACCTGAGTTTCCCCCAATTCCAACAGGATTTCATGGCCTACGATTAACTCTTCGTATTCAGCCTCATTATTAGAGCAATCCCCATCTATTTTGTATTTAAATGTTGTTGGAATTTTGCTTGGAGAAATAATGAGGACTCCGACTCCAGTTCTATCTTTATAACTAGAACCATCAAAGTACAATTTTCAAGGTTCGATCTCCAAATAATTCAGTGATCCCTCTAGTATAGAATGGTCGACTATAAAGTCTGCTACCACCTGACCTTTCATAGCCTTGAGAGGCATAAAGGTTAATGAGTACTCAGTTAATGCGAGTGCCCATTTGCCAATTCTACTGTGCAAAATGGGTTTCGACAACATATATTTGAAAACATCAAAATGAGACGAAACATAAACATCAACTGGCTTTATATATTGCTTAAGTTTTGTACATGAAAAATAAAGACATAAACAGAGTTTTTCAACCTCGTTATATCTGGTTTCTGCATCGTTTAAAACTCTACTGAGGTAGTATATGGGCCTTTCGACACCATGCTCATCCTTTTGGTTTATCTCAATGCCCTTTTTATGGACCACAAAACCTAAGAAATCTCCCGCTTTGACACCAAAAGCAAATTTTAGAGGGTTCATCTTCAGGCCATAGCGTCTCATCCTCTTGAAGGATTGTCTAAGATGATCCATGTGAGTCTTCCCTGAAACAGATTTGACAACGATATCATCAATATAAATTTGCATGAAAGTGTCAATAAAATCATGGAAGATCAAATTCATGGCTCTCTGGTACGTTGCCTCGACATTCTTTAAGCCAAAGGGCATCACTAGCCATTCATAAGTGCCTAAGGCCCCAGGGCAACAGAATGCCGTTTTCGACACATCTTCTTCAGCAATAAAGATTTGATTATATCCAGAGTAGCCATCAAGCATACTCATGTACTCGAAACCAGCGGCATAATCCACAAGCATTTCCGCCACCGACATTGGATATTCATCTTTGGGTGTTGCAGCATTCAGATCTCTGAAATCGATGCACACTCTTAAGGTACCATTTTTCTTTATAACAGGCACAATATTTGCAATCCATTCGACGTACCTGGTCGTCCGGATGAACTTGCATCTCAGCAGCCTTTCGACTTCCGTTTTGATTTTTGATAAAATCTCTGGTGCAAACCGTCTTGGAGTATGCTAAACAGGCTTCTTTCCAGGCTTTATTGGCAGTTGCAGTTCTACCAAACTTCTATCGAGACCAGGCATCTCGTCATAATCCCACACAAAGCAATCCTTGAACTCTTTTAGTAATTGGATCATTTCGACCCTGAGTCCTGGATCTATTTTTGTGCTTATGTGCGTTGGCTTTATTACAGGACCGTCGCCTAGGTTTACCTCTTCTAGAGGGTCTTGCGCTAACATCCTAACATTGTTCGCCAGTGGGTCCTTTTCGAAACCTAGAGGTTCATCGTCATATATGGCGTATAACCTCTGATCTCGAAGGTCTTTCGTTTCTAAGTTAGGAGGCTCTGGGTCGAAATCTTTCCCAGGGCCTTTTTTAGAAAGGGCTTGTTCATTGGCTTCGAAGGCCATATATTTAACTTCAGCCTCTAAGGCCGCTGGCCACTATCATTCTACTTTCGGCCACATACGCCGAAATCTTTTGCAGAGTTTGTGACTCAGTCATCATCACCAAACTCACTTCCCCAGCCTGTTGGCCGTATATCATCAACTCCTACAAAGTCGATGTTGGATAAGTCTTCTCTATCCCACTGAAAGCCGTAGTCGGAGTGTAGTCCCACCGGGTGTGCCAATTTGTTTACCGTGGTTTTTGGTAAACAACCGCTGATCTTCTAAAAAAGGAAAGTTCTTTTGGTTACTCACGGGATTGATCAGATTGATCCCAGAACATATGCAAATTTTTTATGTAAGACAAGCAATTAGGAAGAACGCACGTTCGACCAGAGAAAAGATACTTGAGATTTTGGAAAAGTAGACAGAAATGTAGAAATGCAGGTAAAGATGCAAGAAAGATAACTTTGCAAAATAAGATTAAAACAATGTAAAAGACTTTCATTAATAAAAAGAGGTGTTTCCAACGTATATTTCTTAGTTTTATCCTTTCTCACACAGCGGTTACTTGGACAATATTTGAGTAACTAGCACAATAGGTTGAACACACCCAAAAACTACACAGATTTCCTAATTTATACTAAAAACTAAGTAACCGTCGATGAACGACTCTGCGCTAAGAAAGATGAAGACAAGTGTCTTCTGCATGTCTCTCGACCTCTAGCTTCCAACTACGTTGCTTCTTCTTAGCCGCTAGCGAAACTGTCTTCCCCTCCAATAATTCAAATTCAAATGTCCCTCGTATTATGTGTCAAAGCGATGGTATTTTCTCTTAGTCGAAGGTCATAAGTCCTCTTCAGTCGAAACCTTGAAAGTGAGCCCTGGTCGAAGGCTCAAATACAACTTAGATCTTTTTTCTAAGTTATTTCATACGTCGAAATATTCTTGGCTTGATTTATTCCAATTTTTTAGTCTAAAAGACCAAATATAGTAAGTGTCGAATTCGGGAGCCAACAATGTCTCCTAGTTTCAAAAAATCAAAAATCAAAACCAAACCCTCAAAATCCATTAAACTCCCATCCATCGAGACAATAATTTCTCAGTGCCTTCCATCACTTTCCTTTCATCTGTGGAAAGCAGATATGTGGACATTGAAACCGATCCTGATTTGTCAAGAGAAAATATTGAGCAAATCGAATCAGATGCATGTGCTTCATCTGATATTCGAACTGAAATGTTGCCAGGAGTGCAGGTAGATAATGATACATGTCCAGTGCTTGACACACCTGAAATTGATGTATACATGGTTCTCTCCACGAGGCAAATGATGCAGTGGTAGATGAATCTGCTTGCGAAGATGATGATTTATTAACAAATGAACTGCTGCAAGAATTAGAAGCTGCTGCTATAAATAGTGTCTCCGATTTGGAATTCAAATCCGAGTATAAGATGAGAAAGATAGATAGCTTAGACGATGTTACGGAATCAGTTGTGAATGAATTTTTAAGCCTGCTATTTCAGAAAGTGATGCTGAGCATGTTCTGCATAACATAGCAAACCTTGAAATTGCGATTCTTGCTGTTAAATACACTTTCAGAACAAGATTGCACCGGAAAGACATGTTATTCTTTATGATGTGTTTAAGCTTTTTAGAAATATTAAGGATTTTGAAAAAGCAGAGAAGGTGTTTGAGGAAATGCTTCAGAGCGGTGTCAAGCCAATGCAGAACTTGTTAAACTTCAACAACAAGTTGCAGATTTACATAATGCAGCTTTGGCTACTAATAAGGATGAGGATGCCGGAGAAGAACTCGTAGAGCTGTATCTGATGTTGCTGAACCTCAAGTGTCAAAGGTTTTATCTGTGCCGCTGCCGAAACCACAACCTGTTGGTGTTCTTTACACTTATGGTAGTTCAGAAGCTGTTACAAGCTTATGTTGGCAAAGATCCAAACCAGTTATTGTATTTCCTTAGGTTTTAATTACGTTTTTTTTTTTTTTTTGTGTTTAAGATCAAGTTACTCTATTTCCCTCGTAGACTGCCATGGCTATTATTGAGGAAGAGCTTGGAGCTCCTATAGCTGGCATATTTGATCAGTTTGACTATGAGCCAATAGCTGCTGCAAGTCTTGGTAATCAATGTTTCCTTTTTCATGTATTTGTAATAGAAATTGTATAATCAATGTTTTGTTTTTCATTTATTTGATCAGTTTGACTATGAGCCAATAGCTGCTGGAAGTCTATGTTTTAAGTGTAATGTTTGCTTGGAAGAAAGGAAAAATGAATTATCTTGTCCCAATGCAGGTCAGGTTCATCGTGCAAAATTAAGGGGGCAGGAAGTTGTTATCAAGGTTCGAAGACCTGGTCTCAAGGGTCTTTTTGATATTGATCTTAAAAACCTAAGGGTCAGTGTTATACTTGGTGCTTTGTGCATCTGTAACATTACTGTTGGATTATTACCTTCTGCTTGATTTATCTGAAAAATTGACAAGTCTTCTTCTAAATTGTAAACTTTTTCTATTTCTTACATTGCATGACGGAGGCTTAATAATAGGGTTTCCAGCCTCTGAAGACTTGCATAATTTCGGAAAATATTGATACATTAGTCTTCTTTTTTCTCTCCAGGTTATTGCTGAGTATCTTCAAAAAAATTGATCCTAAATCAAATGGTGCAAAGAGGGAATGAGTTGCTATTTATGATGAGTGTGCTTCTGTTTTATATCAGGTGATGAGGCTTTGGATAGTTGCTTCACTCATCTACTTGAGATCAATCGAAGAAAATCACATGTCTAAGTTTTAATCGTATTGATATAATCTGTAGGACTAGGAGCACTGCTTACATAGAGTTTGATTAAGTTCGGGTTAATTGAATGTGTCAGGAGGTTGGGTCTGCCTTTGGAAAGGCATATGGGAAAACCAAGTTCTTTTGGGTCATGAAGGCTTTTTACATCAAATTAATAGTGAAGAACTTAAGATTTCTGAATGTTGAATAAGAGGCTTTTTATTCAAACAAGAAAGTGTTAACTAAGAATAGCTGAGTTGTTTTCACGAAGGAATAAGGTGGCCTACAATTTTACCTTGCTAGCTCATGGCGTAAAATGGATGATTAGGATTTTTGTTTGTTGTGTAGGTGTTAACACAATGCTTCATAACCACACTTGTGAGTATTTCACATGCCATTCATTTTTATCTGAAACCACAAATGGATTATGTGAAAGTTCCTTCAATTTACTGGAATTATACCACCCCACAGGTTTAACTTATAGAAATATATATTCTTACCACTATTACTATTCATCCTCCATAATGGTAACATATATATGATTTTTCATTTAGTACTTTCTTACATAGGTTTGCTTTTTTGTCTCCATAGATAAGCCAGGAGATACTAGACTCATTGAATTTGTAACTATATTAATAAATTTAATTTTAAATATTATACTAAATTATTAAGATAAATAATTTAAAATATTGAATTAAGTGTATGGTTAAATATAAAATGGAGTTTAGAAGTGAAAAGCATGAGTGAAACTACCTGTATTGAAGAAAATCAGTGTTAGTATTGTAGTGACTCGGTTGAATTTGATTTTGATTTTTAGTAATAAATCACATTATACTATAATTGGAATTTAGATTTTGTTCATTTTGAATGTTTGATGATTTTAGTTTTAATTTGTTTCTCTAACTTTACATAATGCAATTCCTCCAATAATGACTTTCATACATTTCCTTTTTTAGAAGATTGAAATTCAGTGTCTAAAAGAGAGAACTTAATAGTCTAATAATCATTTACTTTCCATCTCAAGAGCATTAGGATAATTATTTTATCTTTCCATGTAAAGAGTAATTATTAATACAATACTTATTTTATTTTAATCAATAAATGAGAGACACAATTCTTATTTCTAAATGTTAAATGTTTTTCGTTTTCACATTTTCTTATAATAATTTTATATATTTGTTTTATAATTAAATAACCTATTTCAATAGTCGTATAAACTACTAACTTTTTATTTTTACGGGTCACTATTAGCATAATACATATTTATTTTAATTATTTTTATTTGAGAGAGTAGAATCTTATTTTCTAATTTTTAAATTTTTTTCTCCATCTTACATATTCTATTTTATTCTTATATGATTATTTAATATGATTGAATTTATATAATTATTATTTTTTATAATAAATTAATCCATTTTAAATTTCAAATTTATATGTGTTATCAAAATAATCATTATAATATTTTTTATTTATTTTAATCAATAAAATATTTATAAATATTTATAATTATTAGTGATATTTTTAAATATTTATAATAATTAAATATATTAAATTTATTATATTTCTGATTTGCTACATATTTATTTTTAAATATTTATAATTATTAATGACTTTATAATAAAAATTATATATTAGCAACAATCAAACCTTACCGAATGATCTAATATATGAATGAACTTACCCGTATTAATGCACAAGTTTTCTACTAGTTTATAAAACAAGAAGCTTAAAATCATTGAAGTCGACATTTGTTTAAGCCCCCGAGGCTAAGAAAATATAGCTTGTAAGTTTGATGAAATAAAGAGCATCTCCGATGGAGGTTGCTTAATGCACACTAGAATTTATAAATTCTAAAACTTAGTATTTTTACCATTGAAATAGATATAGACGTTCTCGATGAAGCAATCCAAAAAGAATTTAATTGTTTAACATTAAATAATATTAATTTTGATAATTGGTGGAGTTAAATATAAATTTATTGGACCATATATAAATTACTTATTCAATTCACCATTGAAATAAAATTAATTTAGATTACTTAAGTGTTAATTATATGCAATGCGTCAATTAGTCCGAGACAAAATAGTTCAAGCAACCAAAAATAAAATCTCCTATTAGAGATACACTAAAAGAATTCATGTTATAAATCTTTTCAGGTTAAGATAATATAAGTTGTATAGTCTAATAAAATTTATGTTTCAAAAGTAGTTTATGGCTATCTCACAATGTACTACTTTTCTCTTGAACAAATTACAATTTAGTACTAATCTCGCAACTACAATTATAACTTTAACATATTACAGATAGATACCTTAAAATACAAATACAATAACGAAACCCAAATTTAAAATATGGTAAAAAGAATAAAAAAAAGATATAATTTAATAACTTTATAACTTGAAATTCTAGCATTGGATTGAAGTTAAACAGAGTCTTGTTGCATTGGTGGAATAGGAAGGTGTCCTTTCTCTTGTAGGCTTCTAACAGTGTCATATAGACATTGCTTAACAGGAGTGAACTCCAATCCCAAGTCTTTCAGCTTTTGATTTGAATATATGTATGGTTTCACTCTTGGATTCTTTTCATCTGAACATCTGCAAAATTTAAATAATATATTTACTTTATTTACCTTCAATTAATTTTTTTCTACGCATATAACTTTCATTTGGATGATTAAACAACAAAATTGTAATAATTACTAAAAACTCATGCAAACAATTATGACAGTCTAAGTTTAAACTCTGGTGTTAACGTATAATCTAACAAAATCAGAATTTTCCTAATTGAGTTAAGATTTGAGAATATCACGTTCTAATATTAATTAACTAAAAAAGTTGGTAAAAGTATAGGGTCCATAATTAACTAGTTTTTACCTATAAAATCGTTGACGTTGACTTAAGTGTGAATGATGTAGGCTTTGGATTCAACTTGACTTGATTCTAAAGGGTAACAAGTCAAAGTTGGTATACCAATAGGCACAACACATCAATTAGTGTGTCACATTGAAAATACTTCACTTGTTTATTCTAAATATAGACCATTTTTCTCATCCCTAACTACAACTTAGATATATGCATTTGAATACATTAATTACTATGCAGCTATTTTTGAAGTTTTTTTTTTGTATTGTTTGAATGTACACTATTTTCAAAAATCTGTCTAGGTTAGGCGGTAGTTGTTATTTGTATAGATATCTGATAGTGCGAGTTCGAACCTGAGATATCTCATTCAAGTTTAGATATTAGGCTATTAAAAAAAATTGAGGACTTACTTGGTCGGAAGTGGATATTCTGGAAAATACTTGGCCAAAATTTCAACAAGTTCACCACGATGCAAAGAAGTTTCAGAACAAATGTATCTACCAGAAGCAGAATTTGTCTCATAAACAAGAAGGTGTGCTAATGCAACATCCTTAACATCAACATAACATTGTGTTGCATTCACATAAGTTTTTGCTGCACCATTAAGATACTTGAGAATATGAATTGTACTAGCATTAATGGTTTCTTGTAGTAATGGTCCAAGAACCAAAACTGGATTCACCACAACCAAATCAACTTCATTTTCTTTTGCTATTTTCCATGCTGATTGTTCTGCCACTGTCTTCCCATAACAATACCAATTCTGAAAATAAAATTTATAATATTAATATTCCGATAAATATTACTAGTAATATTTTTCATAAAGTTATTAAATTAGTTAAGCATTCAAACCTTTGTGTTCTTGCAATATTCTAAATCACTCCAATACGACTCATCGATAACAACATTTCTACTCGTATTTGGGTCCATATAAACCGTTCCAATCGATGAAGTGAACACGACACGTCTCACCTTCGCTTCCGCAGAAGCTACAATCACGTTCTTTGTTCCATTTACTGCTGGTTCCAACATCTCATCCTTCAAAAAAATTATTAATTCACCTTATAAGTTTTACTCTTTATGCCACATTTTTTGTTTGAAATTAAATATAGATATAGAAAAAGATAAAAATTGTTACAGGGTTATCGGTGACCGGAGAAGCTGTGTGGAATACACCATGGCAACCATGAACAACAGATTGAATAGAGTTAAGATCAAGAAGATCAACTTTATGCAAAGTTAGTCTCTCTTTTGCTCCTTCCAACTCTTTCAAATGACCATTCTTTGGATCCTCTAATTATATAAAAATACACACTTACAAATAACATAAAATAAATAAAGTTTCTTTTTAATTTAATTTAACATGCAAAAAATAAATATAGTATCATGTCATGCAAGTGTTACTATTAAAAAAAAATGATAACATGCATACCAGGGTTTCTGAGGGTTCCTCTAACAGTGTAACCTTTTTCCAAGAGAAGTTTGACAAGCCAAGAAGCTATAAACCCTCCGGCGCCAGTGACGCAGATGGTTTGGCCGGCACCGGAGAGTTGTGAAGTGCTATCATAGGCAGGCATGATATTTTTGTGTGAAAGAAGAAATAATTTAGGTAAGAAAAGAAAAATTGGTGGATGAGAAACGAAGAAGAATGTGATAGCTGTAAAGTATGAAAAATAGATGATTCTTCTTGTTGTTGGGTGTTGCACTTTGCATTATGGGGAATGGATTCCTTTTATAGATTTGAGAAAACCATATTCACCTAATCTTTTACCAAGTATTTTTCTTTATAACTGTTTTCACACGTTTTCAGCTATTTCATATTGAAGAATTAATCACTTTTGTATTTTGTAGTAAAAAAAACACATGTTGTAGAAACTTCCTTGGATTGTTTAAATATATTTGATTATTTATAAAAACATATTTTCGCAGACATGTGAAGAAATAATTTGAAGTTAAGCGTAAACATGGATTGTCCTTTTATTAATTTATTGTGATGATTTGTCTTAATTGTACAACTATATTCTGTCAAAATAATTTTACAACAACTTATGGTTATATATTTTATTTTATTCTTACTTGCATATTTTAATCACTTGCGTATTAACCTGGCCAAGAAAATTACCAACTTGGTTCATGGCTTTTTGTTCTTGTAATAGTCGTTTGTGACGGTAGAGTTTAACTCTTAATAGGAGAATTTAATGTTTCAGGTACATAAAAGAAGAAGAACTTACGACGTCTCTATATACAATCTTAAAAATAATGAGTATGTAAGTGAAATTTCTAATATATTTAATATTTTATTTATCTATAATCGATGTGAATTTTAATCACTTCCATTAAATCGATCATTTATAAATAACTGGAATTCTCTAACATCTTACTCCATCAATCCCAAATATTACATTTGAGTATTTCACATAAGTATTCTAAAAATTAGATTGAATGGCCGGTTAAATCGGAAATTGAAAAGGTCATCCGTCTATTTTAATTATTGAACTGAGTATATTACTTAATCAGTAAGAATCAGACAAAATTGATAAAAAGTTGGTGAACCGGCGATTTTTGGAAAATCAGCAAATTAAATGCAACGTTGTTTTGATAAAAAAATTAAAAAAGAAAATTAAAATTAAAATATAATTAAATTTTATTCAAACCTTATTTAAAACAACTTTTTTTAAGCAAAAAAAATTACATTAAAGCGAACGCAAGGGGTACTCCACCCAATACAAAGAAGAAAAACTAAGCTAAGTCAAAGTTACTAACAGATTGAACATTCAATCATCTTTTGACAAAGAAAACTGACCAAAGGATCTAGCACAAATCCAATCCCAAGCTAAAATTTTGGGTACAAAAACAATCTCTTGACTCCCTTTCATTCCACCATATTGAATAAAATGTCATTTCTAATTAACCAAATGGCCCTGACGACAAATAACTAAATAAAACTTCTACAGTATCTTTTCCCTCATCGACATAACAGAGGTGAACAACAATAGATAATCAGAAACAGTAGAAACAAAAAAGTTATTAACTACCCCTACCCATTCTAAGATAGATAACTAAACCTCATTAGCATCATAACAAGCAATGAAGAGATGATGTTGAGTCTCACTCAGGCTAAGAAATAATAGGCAAACAAGATTATGTATGCCTGAAATAGCCCCTCTTTTAGCAAGCTCTTCTCTTGTTTGCAATCTATAATGAAGCAACCTCCACGCAAACACTTGAATATTCGACGACATATTTGATTTTCAGACAAACTTTAGAGAAGACAACAAACATGTACCGTAAATGTTTGCAATTAGACTTGATTCAAAATTTATTTTGATTTGTATTTTTGATTTATTTTGTTGTATGTGCTGATTATATTTAGAATTTGAATTTAATGAATGAATATGTGAAATTATGATATTTTCAAATTTTGAAATTTGTATGTCGCGATACTTTCTAGAGACTGAATCATATGGTTAGACCGATTTAATAAATATATAGTTTTGTTATAGCAATTGATTCATTCAATTGAGTCATCCGATTTAATCTGATTTAGTTATGTAGTTCGACCAATGATCCAATGGTTCAACCAATGAACCAATGATCTAGTACTCTCACTAGTTTGATGATCGGTCCGATTTTTAAAATATTGTTTCACACAAATTAAATAAGTATGATCAATGAAAGAAAGAGAGAATAACAATTTTAACATATTATTCTTGTTAACTATTGGTGTATTCTAACGATCGTCAATGCTAAATGAGAGAATAGTAAATTGAGAGTGGCGTAGGTAGTATTAATTGAAGGTTACAGTTGGAAGAAGAAAATGAAAATTGCATTGAAAACTAAAAGCGATATTTATTTTAAAACATATAATTTATTAAAATGCGACAATATTTTAGGGCAGAGGAAGTATAACAAAATCCAACTCCCACTCTCCATCAAATCAAACAAGAATTATGATATTGTTTGGTAAAGAGTTCAAGAAAGCATTAAAAGCAAAAATGAAATAGTGTTTTAAGATTCCAAAAAAGAGACATCATATATTCATCTAAAATCTTAAAATATTAGATATTATAAGAGTTAAATGTGAGTGGTTAATTCTCACATCGATTATGAATGATAAAAATGTTAGAAATATAAAGACAAAATATCTTTGGTGGTCCCATATATTAGCATTGAGGTTTATTTTGATCCTTTAACTTAAAAAAAGTTCATATTGGTCCCTTAATTCTTCAAAACGTTTCATTTGAGTCTTTTTTGTCTAATTTTTAAGTTTTTTTTATCGCTAATTAGATAAAAAAAACTTAAATGAAGTGTTTTTAAAAATTAAGGGACCAATATAAACTTTTTCAAAGTTAATGAATTAAAATAAACCTTGACATTAACATACATGACAAAACAAAATATTTACATAATCTATGCTTTGGGATGAAATTGTGGTGTTCTTTTCTCATATGATTTTAGAGCATTTGGTAAATTGTTTCTATCGTTTTCTCCTACTAATATTTGAGTCTTTGTTTGAGTTTGTGGGACCAAGAGCAAGATCTTGTTTAAGAATATGGGAGACTCACTTGTAGAAGTGACTATTGAGTTCAAGTATTTTATTTTTTTGGTAAGCAAAATTTGTTTAATTGGATAAAGGGGGTACTCTATCTCACATATAAAAGATCATCACAATTTTAGAAAGTCCAGAGGACATTTACACTAATCATAAAAGATAATACATCATCTATTCTTGATTCCTATTACATGTCAAAGCTAAGAGACTAACTTAATATTCTCAACAACATCTCCCGTATCTCCTATATCATTATTGAATAAGATATATTTTCTTTTAAGCAGATTCTCTATGTTTGGCAACTTTTCCTTTGCATGCCAATGCAAAATGTATAAAATGTTAACTCCTTACTATAGAAAAATGACACTTTTTTCTCTATATTTCTACTGGTGAAAGTCTTACTTTAAACTGCACTTTTTATATATTACTCACTTGATTCAAGCTTACTTCCATTGAATTAATAAAGTTACAACTGGTTTTTATATAGAGACCTAAGATAACATATAAATGCTACGACATTAATTGCAACTAGTTCCTAAGCCTTTTTCACTGCTCAAGAGAATATTGCCTTTTGCGTTACCCAACAGTATTAAATTTATTACAATAAAACTCCCCCATAAATTTAAATACTTCTTAGATCCATCATTCCCAGCATCCTTTTGCCTCTGTCGAATAACTCTTTCAACAATGGTTTTGTGAGGATGTATGCAGCTTGATCCTTACTTGCTACATGCTTCACTTTGACACTTCCTTCATTCACATGCCCTAGAATGAAATGGAATCGAACGTCAATGTGTTTTCTCCTTTCATGGTTCACTGGATTCTTCTCCAGCTCGATTGCAGATTTGTTGTCGACTTGTATTATTTTTACATCTTCTTGTCTTTGCTCTATCTTGATCAACAGTCTTCTAAGCCATATTGCATGACATACACACCAAGATGCTTCCACATACTCTACTTCACATGTCGAAAGAGTTACAACTGGTTGCTTCCTCGAAAGCCAGGTAAATGCAGTGTTTCTCATAAAGAACACATATCTTGAAGTGCTTTTTTGATCATCTACGTGTCTATCAATCACTGTCGGAGTAGCCAATCAACTTATAATCTTCTGTTCTCGAGTAAAACATTCCAAGTGACACAGTTCCTTGGACGCATCGAAGGATTCTTTTCAATGCCTTCCAGTGTGTATAGACCGGTTCTTCCATAAATCGACTCACAATTCCAACACTCAACGAAAGATCTGGCCTTGTGCAAGTGAGATATCAAAGACTTCCTACCAAGCTTCGAAATTTGCTTGCTTCGACACGCTCTCCCCTATCAAATTTAGAAATCTTTGCTCCTGGTTCCATCAATATCGAAATTTGATTGTAGCTACCCATTTTAAATCTCTCCAGGATGTATTTTGCATAATTTTCTTATGAGACGAAAATTCCCGTCTCTTCTTGTTGAACCTCCATGCCAAGATAGAATCTCATCATACCTAAGTCTGTCATCTCGAATTTACGTGCCATTGTGCCTTTGAATTCTTCTATCAACTGATCATTGTTGCCCAAGAAAATCAGGTCATCAACATAGAGAGCAACAAGCAATATATTCTCTTTATTCTTCTTCACATACAGAGCATGTTCGTAGGGACACTGCTGAAAGCCATTTTCTTTGAAGTATGTATCAATGCGTGTATTCCATGCTCGTGGTGCCTGCTTCAGCCCATAAAGTACCTTCTTTAGTCTTAACACTTTTCCTTCATTTTCGACTTTCATGTATCCCGGTGGTAGTTCAATGTAAACTTCTTCTTCAAGCACACCATTTAAAAAGGCTGATTTGACATTCATCTGAAATATTGGCCATTTAAATTGAGCAGCTTGAGAGATGAATCGAATTGTCTCCATTCTTGCAACAGGTGCAAACACTTCATTATGGTAAATTCATGATTTTTGCTTGTATCCTTTCGCCACAAGTCGCGCCTTGTAGCTTTCGATTTCGCCTTGAGAATTCATCTTTTTCTTGAACACCCACTTCACACCA